AAAGTGATTTCTCAACTATAGAGAACTTGCTGTAAGTTACTTTTCCTAAAGAAGCAATGGGACTGGCATTATTCATCAGAGAGAGAGAGAGAGAGAGAGAGGAGGACCTTGTGTCTGCCCAGCACAGTGCTAACTGGCAGATTAAGAAAATAAACACTGAGTTGCACTAATTAGTTTTTTAATAGTCCATGTTCCTGGGACCTGGGCAACAGAGGACACATTGTTATGAGAAAATCAGGTTAATTTTTTGAAGTTGAAAGGAACTTTAGAACTAATCAATTGTTATATCCTCAATTAACTCTTGGGGTTTATAAACAGGGTAAAGGGTTTTGCTAAAAATGAGATCTTAGATCTCCTTGCCTCATAATACTGGTAGGTTTCTGTGATCACAGAGAGGTTCAATACTTTTATAATTAAAGACTTGGGGTAAATAAGGCTTTGGTTAAACTAACTATGTATGGCTTTAAACTATGTAGGGCTTTCTGCAACCCCCTTAGCTAAAAAAACTCCATCCAAACAATGAAAACAGTATGATAAGTGAAAGAAGCCAGACACAAAAAAGCCGGACACATATTATATGATTTCATTTATAAAAAATGTCCAGAATGGGCAAATCCATAGAGATAGAAAGTAGATTAGTGGTTGCCTGGGGATAGGAAATGGGGAATGGAAGTGCTGGGTATGGGGCTTTTTGGGGGTGATGAAAATACAGACGGCCCCCAACTTATGATGGTTCAGTTCATCTAATGATGGTTCCCAAAGTGAAAACTTAAGACTTTTCAACTTCACAATGGTGTCAAAGTTACACATTCAGTAGAAACTATGAGTACCCATACAATTGTATGTCCAGTATTCAAATAAATCACATTAGACATTCAATACTTTATTATAAAATAGGCTTTATGTGAGATGATTTTGCCCAACTGTAGGCTAATATAAATGTTTTGAGCACATTTTAAGGTAGGGTGGCCTAAACTATGATGTTCAGTAGGTTAGGTGTGTTAAATGCATCTTTGACTTACAATATTTCCAATTTATGATGACTTATTGGGATGCAGTACCATCATAAGTCAAGGAGAGTCTGTATCCTATAATTAGTGGTGATGGTTGCACAATGTTGTGAGTAAAGTAAAAATCAGTGTATTATGCATTTTGAAATAATGGTGAATTTTATGTTCTGTGAATTTTACCTAGCCTATGTCAATGAAGATTGAAGAGATAATAATGATCAGATGGGTGAGTGGTAATTACTTAGAGTTGCCCCTTGTGAGCTCTTCCTGGGAGGACATGTAGCTCTTCCCCAAGTAACCCCCACCCAATTTCTAGTCAAGTAAAGGGGGCATCCAGAGAAACAAACACCCTGTGCACACTGGGAGTTCAGAAAGCACAGAAGCCAGGGTTTGAGCCTGCTCTGAAAATATGTCTCCATATTGTGAGTGACATAGGATTGGGTGAGAGATCTGGTCCTATAGCAAATCTTGGGCAACTTATAAAAATCAACTGGAGTAGGCCAAGAGAACAGGTTGCTATAGGAGCTGAGTGCACTTCTAGAGTTGCTGGGCAAAGGTATGTGCTTCCTGTGGGCTAAGAGTTAACTTACATTATAAAAACCCTATTAAGAGTGCTGCCCACCAGAGTGAGGAGACCTCTACACGAAGCTCCTGTTTGCCTGTAGAGCCAGCAACCCCCGTGAACTCCATCTCCAAAGAACATCCAATGTGCCTCCTAGGTTATAAAAAGGGCACGATAGATGTCTGCCAGTGTCCAAATTACACCTGATTGCAGGAAGCATGCTAGAATCAAATGAGAAAGAATGTGAAAGCCCTTCAAAAGATATAAAGTGCTATTAGAGTGTTATTAGTAAAAATGACTTTAGAATCATCAAACTCATGCTATAACAATTTCTTAGATCTCTAATTCCTTAGGTCTTTGATTACAACCTGAGAAAATCTGGAAATCACAAGGCTGGAAGAACCCCTGAGATTTCATTTCCTCAACTCGCTTGCCTAGAGGCAGAAGTTATTTCCAAACCCAGCCAGACACTCACATGACCACATCCAGATCAGCACACTAGATTCAGAATTATCTCAACTGTCAAGTCACTTTCTTTCTACTATTCCTTGGAGCCATTATCGAATGGTCAAAAATACCAATAGATTATGTCATGTGGAAGAGACCAGAAGAATATCTGTCCTATTTTAAACTCCTGAGAAGGCAACTCAACCATCTGTCTTGGCAACCCATTCTAGGTTGGATCCACACTGGCAGAAACATCTCTCTTCTGTTTAATCTAAATCCTTCAAATAGACCCTTGAGATAATTGCATCCCATTTCATTTCCAAATAATTTGGAACACAGTTGTTTACCATCTGGGTTATAGAATTATATAAAGTCACAGGGTTGTAGTGACCAGTAAATAAAATAATGTAGATGTCTGGCACATAATAATGGCTGAGTATAGATTTATTATTTCCATCATTGTATGTATTGGGATTCTGTCAGTCACAAGTGACATAAGCACAATTCAGAATAATTTAGGCAAAAAAAAAAATGAGGGAGGTGGAAAGTATAATTAACAAGGAAATTAAAGTGTGCAGTGGCCTTCAGCTACTACTGGATCCAGACTCAAATCATGTTTGTAGGGCTCTTCTTTCCCTTTCTTTCCCTATGTCTTTCAGACAGACTTTTGAGGTGTAAAGAAACAGGATAGCAACCAGAAGATTCAGGTGGAGTAAACCATTCCTTAACCACCTTGAATAGGTTCCCCATTCATCAGTTCATTCATCAAAAATGTACTAATGTGTCAGCCAGGGTTCTAGAAGCTGAGAATAGAGTAGTGTCCAAGACAGATAAAATTGCTGCCCTCATGGTATTTACCTTCTAGTAGAAAGACGAGATCTATTAGAAGAAGGCAAAGAGGTGAAGGAATGCTAGAAAGATAAAAATGTTTACCCTCCACAAAATAAGGGCACATCTTACCTTATTATATCACACCATTAAGGTCAACTCTCACCTGCCTCTTTCCCCAGCTAGTAAAACCCACTCTTTCACAACTTTCTTCCTCTCCACAAATGTATTAAAACCCCCAAATCAGGTCTTCAAATGGATAAATAGCCTTGTCTGTGGATTTTAAGTGCATTTGGCCTATTTATGTTGTGTAATATCTGCATAATGTTTATAAGACTTGCCTGCAGCTATAAAAAACATAACCTTCCCATTTCCATTTTTTTAAAACTCACTTATTCTTCTTAGACCATCTTTGTATTAAATATAGGTCTTTCTTCTGCCTTCAAGGTTTTCTTTGAATAGAATGTTAGCAAAATACTGCAAAAACCTGGTCATTTATTAGTCCTTTGAAAAGTATTTCTCTGAGTAATTTTAATTCTATTTATCCGTGTTAGCCATTCCAACTCCATAAAAATGAAGACCTAGGGACTAAGATTTATTTTTCAGAACCCCAGGAAGTGTGGCCTAATATTAGAAAATCTCAGTCTCTGCCTCTCCCTGGGGAGCTCACAGTGAGGAATGCCTGTACTCCTATGCGAAAATTTAACTTTTCATGAAACTGAAGCTAACCTGAATCAAGTTGTCCTCACTTGAAAATGTCTTGATTTATCACTGCTATTCCAGCTTTATTTCACAATCAGGCTGACAAAATTAACAATGCACACAATTCTACTTAAATTAGGCACTGGTCTGACAGATCTGTGCTCCCACAGAAATAACTCGGGGACAGTGTAGGGACCAACTTTCACTAAAGCCAAGACTGCGTAAGTGTGGAGGGGTATGGGAGGGGGTAAAGGTGGTGGCTATTGTCTTAGTTTTTATTTTTCAAGTGATATTACAAGTTATCTGCCCTGCCCTGTTTTCTCCATTTGGTCTGCTATTCTTCATGCTGCGGTTAGCATCTTTTGCCAGCGCAGTAATTTCTTTCTTTTAATCCGGATCTAATGGCCAAATGGGCCATTTGGCTCAGCCAAATCCCATCGCTAAAACTTATCTCGGAATTAAACAAAAATGGATTTTTAATCGAAAAGCTCATCAGTCTCATGCCCTCTACCTCATTTTCGAACGGCCTTGTCCAGCTCGCACCTTCTGTGCCGGCTGGACCCCAGCGCTCCGGAGTGGGGACCCTGCCCACCTCTAAGGTCCTTGGACGGCGCGAGCCACGGACACACGCTCAAAAAAGGAAAAGAAAGAAAAAGGACCTGGCTCTAGGATTACTGTTATTATTATGATTATTTAGGTTAATACCCCTATCTTTGCATTCGAGCCAGAAGGTCGGCTCCTAGCCTTCTTTTCTGCTGCCCTTCTCCTCCTCCTCCTCAAATTGGGCACTATCCCTGACGCCGCCTTCTGAGTTAGGAAAGAGATGGAACTTTCCCAGGGAGGTGAGGGGTGTCCCCGCCGCGCCCTCCCGGTACCCTCCCTCAAGCTGAGATCCCTGTCGCTCCAGAGGAAGCGTGCCAGACTTCCCTTCCTCCCCGACCTCCTCCCCAAATGTGGGCGGGGACGTAAAGCTGCTTCTGTGTTTATTTTGTAAACCTTGAAAGCCAGCTGCACTTAGGTCCAGAAAGCCCCCTAGGCCCTCGCCCCAAAGCAAAGCTCTGAGGTCGGAGGACTGAGTGAACAGGGTTGGGGGAGAGACGCGCTCTGCGCGGCCGCGACAAAGTGGGGACCCCTCCCTCTGGGGCTGGGCGTCTCCGCCTTAACCTTCCCCGACCCACCACTGCCCCGCTTTGGGCTGGACGAACGGACACCGTTGGCAGGACAGTGGATGGGTGCGTCCTTACCCGGGGACGCGAGTCCGGGCCTCGGGTGTGGACCCCGCCCCCGCCCCCGTCGGCGCGGAGGTTCTCCAGGTCCCCAGGGCGGCCGGCGGAACGCGAGCGGCGGCGGCGGGCGCGGGCGGCCTGAGGGGCGCGGCCGCCGCTCGGATTGGCTGCCGCCGCCCCCTCCCGCGCCGCGCGCCGCCTCGCCACGCGCCCCTTCCGCGACCGGAGCCGGCTCCCGCAGGAGGGAGGGCGCGCGGGGGCGGCGCCGACTCCCGACGCTGGGCGCGCGGGAACCCGGGTCCTCGCCTCCCGAGCGCGCAGAGCGGGCCGGCCGCGCCCGCGCCGCCCCTCGGCCCGGCTGCGGGAGCGGGGCGCCCGCGCGGGCACACGGCGGCCGGAGCGCCGAGGCGGTACCTTCAGCCGTGCAATGAGAAGAGCCCGGGAGAACCCACCGGAGCCAGCGGAGAGCTGGGCTGCGCCCGGTTCGTTGCTGCCGCCGCGGCTGCTCGAAACTCCCCAAAGTTGAGAGCCGGCGAGAGGCTGCCGCCCGCCGGGGGCAGGAGGGAAAGGAAGTCGGAAGGTGCAGGAGTGACAGACGCGGACCGACTGACGCGCAGACCTTCGGAAGGCACCACGTCGGCGGCCTGTCCCCCGAGCTCCAGAGGCTTCCCTGCTCCGTGAGTCGTTTTCTGGACGGGTGGCTTGCTAAGTATTTCCGCTGAATTGTTTATAGGATGCGTTTGTGTCTTTTTGTGTCTGCTGGAGGGAGTTGAAAACAACAACACAGGATGCACCTTTTAAAAAAATGGAGTTTCTGATGGTGAGACAGTCGTGTGGAGAGAATGTGACTGTAAATGTCTGCCTATAAGCAGGAATCATAACCCTGGGGGAAAATGCATTTAACAGTAAAGGGGAAACATAAGAGTTCCTCAGTGTGAAATAAAACCCATTTCAGAAGTTACTAGAAAGAAAGTAAGGCATACTCTTAAGGGTTAACTAGTGGTGGTTAACTTCTGCATTTTACCCCTTCTTAAATATTGTTTACCAGGTTCCCTGGTGGAAGGCTGAGCTGGTGGAAAAGACACCAGGAGGAGGCTCAGAGGCGACCATAATGTCTTTTCGCTTACACACACTGCCCACCCTGCCAGGAGCTGTCAGACCTGGCTGCAGAGAGCTGCTGTGTTTGTTGGTGATCACAGTGACTGTGAGCCCTAGCGCCTCGGGGGTGTGCCCCACCGCTTGCATCTGTGCGACGGACATTGTCAGCTGCACCAACAAAAACCTGTCCAAGGTGCCTGGGAACCTTTTCAGACTGATTAAGAGGCTGGATCTGAGTTATAACAGAATTGGGCTTCTGGATGCGGAGTGGATTCCAGTGTCGTTTGTAAAGCTGAACACCCTAATTATTCGTCATAACAACATCACTAGCATCTCCACGGGCAGTTTTTCCACAACTCCAAATTTGAAGTGTCTGGACTTATCTTCCAATAAGCTGAAGACGGTGAAAAATGCAGTGTTCCAAGAGTTGAAGGTTCTGGAAGTGCTCCTACTTTACAACAATCACATTTCCTATCTTGATCCTTCAGCATTTGGAGGACTCTCCCAATTGCAAAAACTCTACCTAAGCGGAAACTTTCTCACACAGTTTCCTATGGATTTGTATGTTGGAAGGTTCAAGCTGGCAGAACTGATGTTTTTAGATGTTTCTTATAACCGGATTCCTTCCCTGCCAATGCACCATATAAATTTAGTGCCAGGAAAACAGCTGAGAGGCATCTACCTTCACGGAAACCCATTTATCTGTGATTGTTCCCTGTACTCATTGTTGGTCTTTTGGTATCGTAGGCACTTTAGCTCAGTGATGGATTTTAAGAACGATTACACCTGTCGCCTATGGTCTGACTCCAAGCACTCCCACCAGGTGCTACTGCTCCAAGATAGCTTTATGAATTGCTCTGACAGCATCATCAATGGTTCCTTCCGTGCACTTGGCTTTATTCATGAGGCTCAGGTAGGGGAAAGACTGATTGTCCACTGTGACAGCAAGACTGATAATGCAAATACTGATTTCATCTGGGTGGGTCCAGATAACAGACTGCTGGAGCCAGATAAAGAGATGGAAAACTTTCGAGTGTTTCACAATGGAACTCTGGTTATAGAAAGCCCTCGTTTTGAGGATGCTGGAGTGTATTCTTGTATTGCAATGAATAGGCAACGCCTGTTAAATGAAACTGTGGATGTCACAATAAACGTGAGCAATTTCACTGTTAGCAGATCCCATGCTCATGAGGCATTTAACACAGCTTTTACCACTCTTGCTGCCTGTGTGGCCAGTATCATTTTGGTACTTTTGTACCTCTATCTGACTCCATGTCCCTGCAAGTGTAAATCTAAGAGACAGAAAAATATGCTAAACCAAAGCAATGCCCATTCATCTATTCTCAGTCCCGGCCCTGCTAGTGATGCCTCCACTGATGAACGGAAGGCAGGAGCAGGTAAAAGAGTGGTGTTTTTGGAACCCCTAAAGGATACTGCAGCGGGGCAGAATGGGAAAGTCAGGCTCTTTCCCAGCGAGACGGTTATAGCGGAGGGCATCTTAAAGTCCGCGAGGGGGAAATCTGACTCAGATTCAGTCAATTCAGTGTTTTCAGACACACCCTTCGTGGCATCCACTTAATTTTGTGCCTGTATTTGTATGATGTCATAATTTAATCTCTTCGTATTTAACTTTGTGTGTGGTCTACAAAATAAACAGCAGGATAGAAATTGTGTTGTTTTGATTTTTGAAAGACAATCAAATGGTCTCTTAAAATCTTTGATAGAAAATGAGGTAAAGCACTTTGGTTCCTAAATGTGCCAGAGAAAAATGGGGTTGTCTTCCAAAGTTTAAGTTCTAAATAACAATATCTTAGCCTTTAGCACCATGGATCTTTTCAAAGCTGGCCCAGAGGTGATATGACTGACATTATCCCTTTATTCAAAATTCTTAAAAGAAAAAAATAAACTTCATGTATTAGTGTTCTTTAAAAATAGACTTTGCTAACTTCTTAGGACCAAAGTTGAGTTATTTTAAAGAAAAGCACTAGTGTCCTATTTCATTTTTAAAAGATATGGAAGAAAGAATCAAGCAGCAAAGTATAAAGTAAAGTTGGATTTGGGACTTATTCAGCCAAAATCACTATTTCAGACGAGTAAACAGACTCTGCTAATAAAATCTGGATAAGGCCACATCATCCTATATGGTGTTAGATAAATAGTGCAAGGAAAATACATTTGTTCACTTGTCTTCTTTCCATGCTGTATCCTTGTATAAAAGATCTCATCGAAAGTTCGAAGTCATCATTATTTGTTCCCGTAAATATGTAGGTGTCAATACCAGAATGTCTGAGTAACTTCTTAAATCTTTGTTCTAGCACATTAATATTTGTTCATATGCTTGTGTATATGTAAATCTTAAATTATGTGAACTATTAAATAGACCCTGCTGTATTGTGCTTTGGACATTTGAATTAATGTAAATATATGTAATGTGTGACTTGATGTTTTGTTTTATTTGGGTATTTAAAAACATAAATCTAAGATGTTTTATGTGATCAGATTATGATATTTTGCGTAAAGCACCACCTATAGCAAATCTCTCTCCAAAATTCTTATAGAATAGAATTTATTTTTAAAGAGGGGGGGAACGGCTTTAATGTATTCTAAATTTATATCAATTTATACCTTCTATATCACATTTTATTCTGATATCATTATGCATTTTACCTGGTTTGGAAGACACTTAAACTCCAATTTTGCAAGAAGTGAGAGCCCAGGAGACCTCCTTATTATTTCTGTCTCTGCCATGAGGTAACCAGGTACCCTCACTGAACCTGTTTCCTCAGCTATCAAATGAAGGTTTCAGACACAATAGCGTTGAAATTCCTTCCCATACTGGAATTGATGATTTCCTGGTGGTCTTAGCTCCATCACAGACTTACACTGGCTTTCCGAAACTTTACCACATACTGATGGAGTGCAGGAATGGGATTAAGAGAGCCTAGCATAGCATTGTATAGCTCAAAGGGGTGTTCCTGATCACTGAGCCCCGCTCCTTCCCATTTCTCAGGGATGAATGGGGCCCCCAAACGGTTGTCTGTTGCCTAAGGCTGAACAGTGAATTAGTGACAGAGGCAGAAGGAAAGCTAGGGTTCAGCATCTTCCCTGGCAAAGATAAGAAGTCCACAGGAATGGCTGTCTTTAACAGGATGGGCACGCAGAAGAACCAAGGATTCAGACAAAAACGTTATCAAAAAGGGGCAAAGGAGAATCAAGGATTGTTGTAACTGGGGCTAAGAGAAAAGAGAATGTTTAGAGGATGAGAGTAGGCAACAGTGACGTATTGCAGAGAAGTAGATGAGGAGGGAATATCAACCACTGACTTTGCAATGGTGGTTTTCTGTGGAGTCAGTAATAATAATAATGGACACATGGTGAGAGCTCCGTGAGTGCCCTTATTAGACTCTCAGTGGCAGACTGGGCAGCAGGGGGTTAAGGAACAAGTGGCTAGGAAGTGTCTCTTTAGGTACTAAGATGCAAAAACTACTTCACAGTAGCACTGAAAATTCCTTATTGCATGATGTTAAACTTACTACTCCTGCCTCTTAAATGCTGATTTCACCCTTTAGAGTAGCGTCCTCAAACTGCAGCCTGTGGGCCACACGTGGGCTGCCTAGCACATTTATCCAGCCCTCCTGGTGTTTTTGACGCTGCTGCCTGTCCTGCTTAGCAGACGACTGTCCCGGGCCCACAGTGCGCACTCTCCAATGGTCTGAGGGACAGTGAACTGGCCCCTTGTTTAAAAAGTTTGAGGACCCCTGCTTTAGACAGTAACCTTTCAGAGCCAAAGATGTTACCGGTAAACATTTTATTCTGGTTAATCATTTAAATAATTAGGAAGAATTCTGTGATTTGTATGACCTTGGAAATCATCACCCCTTTCTTCAGATTTGGAGAAACCCAGACTCAATAGATGCTGTGATTTGTTTAGGATCACACATCTAGGCTGGACACAAAGAATAACTCTTGAACTACAAAAGTTCTCTGGGAAAGGAAGGGGCTGCCACAAGGGGCCATAAATACTCTGACTTTAGAAGTGTAATAGAGCCAGGACCATCCCCTGACAAGGAAGTTAGAAAGAGGATTCCTGAATTGAATCTTTTCTGGATGGGATGCCTAAGGTCCTTCCAGCCCTCAAATCCTTGATCCTGGGAAATAAGTGTTGCATTTGGCAGGGAAATACAGACAGTGCTAGGAGTGTGGGGTTAGTAAAGCCTAATCTTGGCAAGTCTTAACACTCACTCACTGGTGAAAAAAATAGGAAGAGCTGAGATAGAAACCAAGATACCTATCACCAAAACAAAAGAAAATAGAAAAAAATCCTGAATACTGAAAAGCAAAGTCATGTTTTGAGCAAAAATAGGAACGCATGGTGATAAAAAAAAAAAAAAAGCATAGGATTGAAAGCTGTGATGTAGAATTTTTAATTTCTTGAGGGTATCAATTTTTTGGTAGGAGCCTGATCACATGTATTTTAAACATAGGAACAAAATTAATTTGTGCTTCATAAATTTGTCTCAAAACTTTTATATAATTTTCCTTCCAAGTAATAATCTGGATTTATCTGACTGGGTTATTCTTCAAAGCCACTTCATATTTTTTATTACCTAGTGGTTACAGGGGGGAGACTCACTGGAGAAATCAAGCCAAGATCATAGAAGTGAAATTTTGCCAGACTTGGAGTATTTTTTCACTGTAATGAAGAGGTCTACTATTTCCTGTACGCTTATGATAATATATTCCATAACTGATTGTGAGTTAAATTTTTATATGCACTTTTAAGATTTATAATCTGAAAGAATGGCCTAAAAATTTTTCTTATTTATAGTCAACTCCTGCATTAGTCCTCACTGTTTGGCCTAGGAGACATTTAAATATATTCATTTTTTAGCTTTAATTGCTTGAATGATTTGCACAGAAAAATGGTTTTTATTTTTATAAATAAACATTTTTCCAAGATGCCCATCAGAAGGGACGTAGGTGAAACTTATGGGGGTGGGAACATAAGAGGGACAGGAAGACACACTGGCAGTCCAAGTTCTGAGAAGACATTTGATTTTGGATCATCCTGCTAAGCACTGTAGAAACAGGATACAGCCTAAGCATCCTGTTATGGCATTGCTTTTCCTTTGCCACAGCTGCTACTTGCTTACTGCCACCTTCCAGTGTCATTTGGCTTACCAACTGATCTAGCAGGAGGTCCCAAGCTAAGCTCCTCAGTAGGCGTTCAGGGGAGAGTTAAACAAACAAGGGTTCCCAGCAGTTAGCCCTCTACCTACTTCTCAGCCGGAGATGTTGATTCAGGAAGTTTGGGGTAAGGCCTGCCCATCCTATTGTTTAAAAATTTGCCATGGAATTCTGATTCTGCCTGTTTTGATGAAACACATCCTGAAATGGGACCACAGCAAATGCTGTGTTTGAGGCTATATCAAAATACAATATTTTTATTTGCTGATTGATTTATTAATAAAAAGAATCTTAGTCCTCTAAAAAAATTCTAATATATTACAAAAGCAAAAGAGGTTTGATTTGCTGATGCTAAATGAAACATAAATTGTTGGCTGTAATTTATGAATTTTTCTAAAGTATGAAGAATGGAATAGTTACTTTGAGATGACTAAATCCCTAATTCTTTCATTTTTTAAGCTATTTTTAGTTTGAAAGCAGCTACAACAGATCAGGTTCATAACAAAAGCTTTGGAGCTTTCAAATTTGATTAGATCATAGGAAAGTGAGGATGTATTCCAAAGGTATTTAAGTGCAGATTTTAACTACAGACAACCAAACTCCTTTGCTTTTCCAATATATTAGAATAATAGTTTTTAGAGAGAGCACTGAGGTTCTTATCATGGTTTTCTCATCCCTCCCTGCCTGATAGCCAGTCCTCAAACCCTCGTTTTTTTATGTATTATAATACAAAAGTTCGTGTGGAAAGAGGATAATTAGTTTTCCCTTGCAAGTATTATTGGATGGTAACATATAAAAAGTAGAAATAAAGATTCTTATAATAACCTCCTGAATAATTTAGAGGACTGTTTAAGGGGCCATTGTTGCTTATAGATAGATTCCAGGGAAGGGAGCCCTTTTATAATAAGAACCAGAATAAAGAGAATGTGGAAAAAATAGACACTTTGTAAATTATAAAATGTGCATATGGCATGTATACTGGCTTTAATTTATTAAACACCTACTAAGTACCAGGCACACTGTGAGAGGTAGTGTTTTTTTTTTTTTTTAATTTCAGGAAATTATGAGAGTACAAACATTTTGGTTACATTTTATATCTTTGCCTCTCTCTGGCAAGGGTTAGAGGCATGCCCTTCCTCTCTACAATGCTTACTATGTGAGAGGTAGTGTTTATTTATTGTCATTCTCATCACAGTAGCCTTGAAAAGTGGGAAATATTACAGATGGGACAAGAAGCTCCAAAAGGATAAATAATTTTTCCAGGTGACCCAGCTGATGAGCTCTTTTATCATAATAATCATTTTTTAAAAAGCTCTACACAGTAATAGTATAGGTGCTCTACCAATAAAATGACTTTGTACAGCCATTGGCTTTACAGATCATAAATAAACTCTCTGTAAATATAAGAGTGAATTATGCTCACAGCAAGTCTGGGGAGAAGAGGAATGGAAGATCGGGGATCACAGGTCATAATAAAGGTGGACATGATTTTTTTCCTATAAAACACAATGTGTCACAAGTAGCAAAGTTGGAAATCTACCTGAGAAGATAAGAGTTTGGTAGACTAGGCTTCTTCCAGTTTATTGGCTTTTTTCTCTGGTTGCACTTCATACATGAAATTACTTAATAGCAAAATAAATATCTGCTTTCCCATTATAAAATACATATCAGACTATGTCAATGAATAAATGATTAATATCAATATGTTTTAATTAAAAATGACCCATATTTACAGAGTAAAAAAGTTCTATGTGATGAAGTATCAGAGAATTTGTTTTAAATTTCTAGAAAAGTGGTAGAGACAATTCAGACCCCATGGGAAATTTTTCCAGCTAATTTTAAAATTAGATTTCTCAAAATAATTTTTAAATTATTTCACAAGGCAGCCTTGCCGGCTTACTTGATTAAACTTTTCTACAAGGTAATATGTTAGCAGAGTATCAAATATACTTTTAGAGACTTGTGTATTGTCCATAGGATGTTAGTGTCATGGAGTCAAGGATCATGGGATCAAGGTTCATGGTGATGAATGGCTGATAGTAACCAAGAGAAGATTATTGAGCATTGATAGATACTGTGGAGCCATAAATGATGTGTAATAACTACTCCATCCTCTTAAAGAAGATTACGATACACCGGAGAGAGTAAACGAATAAACCTAAAGTAATTCAAGAGTAATTAAGAGTTAATTTGTCCACCAGTGACTATAATGGCCAGTAGGAGGTGAAGAAGGAAGATAATTGGCTGAGACCTCGCTTGAACCAGCTGAGCTAATGTGACATGGGCTTGAACACTTAAATGTGTCCTAGTCATGCCATGAGGAATGAGAATAATGACACTAATAACATTTCTTATATGTAAGCCCCATCCTAAGGGCTTTATGCATTTTGTCTCATATATATGAGGAGGATATTATTTTCATGTCCATTTTACAGGTGGAGGAACTGAGGCGTAGGAATGTTAAGTGATTTACTGAAAAAGCTTGTAGTAAAGGGATCAGGATTTGGACTCAGTTTTGTCTGAATCCAGAACCCAGTCTCTTAATGTCTGTTGTAATAAACTGTAATACTTTTCAGTTCCACAAGAGGGCCTTGCTCATCATATCCCCTTTGCCTTCCTGCCTCCTCATGTCTGGCTTGAGGCTGGCTACCTTCTGCGGTCTGGCCCTGCTGTTAAGATTCTACTCTGTGCCTTCCCTTGCAGTGATCTCCCCTAACGCTGGCAGCTCACTGCTTTGGCCTTCCACCAATGCTGGCTTTTATTCCTGGGGCTCTCTAGACATTCCCCATTTTCCTGACCCGGATCCTCAACTTCTAGAGGCTATGTCTTCCATCTCTTGATCCAGCACTTAGCACGTAGGAGGTATTTGTGCGTCTTAGCTTTTCAAGTATGTTCATTCATTAATTCAACAAATGGTATTAAATACCTAGTATGTGCCTGTCCCTGCAGGCGACCCAGAGGTCAGCTATGATCAAGCTATTCCCAGGCTTCAAAGAAAAGCAGAAATATAGTTTTATCATGAGGCAAGTGCCCTGAGACAGAAATGCCCAAAGATAGGGAGGTCAAGAAAAAGATTCCTGGAAGAAATAATGCCTAAGCAGAGGCTTCAAGGAAGAATGTATGCTTAGAGAGATCCTGTTTGTTTTCCACAGCTGGCAACAGACACGATGGAAAGCAAGACTGTGAGTGTGCCCCGGGTCCACGGGGATTCAGCTACAGTGGCTATCAGGAAACAAGGGCGCCAGCATCCGTGGAACTGCGGTATAATGAGGCCCTTAGGTAGTTTGATCACTAGAGCCTTTGGATGGGATCCAGTGTGCCGCTTCCTCATTTCACATTCCCCTCCCTCTGCACTGAAAATGTAGCTGCAATGCATTCCCATTGCATAGCTCTTCAAGGGGGAAACACACTAAATTGGCTCATGTAAATGCTGATAGCGTATTTTGCTAGGCTGAAAAGAGTTAGAAATATTAGCTTCTCTTGTGTAACAATGTGAGCTTAATATGGTAATGATGAAATAATCCTACTTAATTCAGTTATCACTCCATAGACCAAGAAATGGCTTAGAGCTAATGTTTACCCCAGCCTCACTGTAATTAAATTTACTTTTCTAGCTCAGACATTGATTAGACTAAGCCAGTTTTAGAAGAGTGAATGATTTGGGTGGGAAGAGACAGAAAGATGTAATTTTCAAGGGGGAAAAACCCATCAGACTGACCTGAAGAATTAAATCACAACAGTTCAAGCTGCTTACTGAGCATTTGTGTGCAATTTTGCCCCTATGTTGCCTGTTAAGTATTTCTCCAAAGCATTCATGCTTAAGCAAATCTTTCTCAAAGTCTAGGCTTGTAGAGCTATTGCATGGTTTAAAAAAAAAATCCATTTTTCAACTATATTCCCTTTTTCCAAAGAAAGTATCTTGCCTGAAGTGAAAACACAATTAAAAGTCTATGATGTGAAAGCCTAAAAGAAGTTGTTTGTTTTTTTATTTGTTCTCATTTTTTTTTAATATTCATACTTAATTACAACCTCAGGGAAGCCTTCAGCTTTCAATCTGACCTACTTCAAATCAGTAGAGAAAATAGCAAATAGCTTTCCTAAGCAACGATTTATAATAACTTTGACTTTTTCCCAAAACCCAGAGGAAATATAGGGCTTGATCCTGGGCCAAGTTTTTCAGGAGCTACGTGTGTTAATAAATCTTACTCACATAAGGATTCAATTGAAAAAGCATATCATTGATTATGATAAATAATTTGTCATAAGGACTTAATTAGTATGTAGTGATTTGAATGACAAATGTGTTATTACATTTCTTTTCTTGTTTAATTGGTGAACACTAAGCATCTTAGGAATGTGGCAAGGTTTCTGAAAATGAAGTCATATACAGCTCCATACAAGAGCTGAGGCTTTCCTAGAGAACTAGACGCAGTCGTTGCTCTACAGGGATTTTCCACTTTCAGTGAGGAGGTGGCTGGCAAACTCCCCTGCTGTTTGTCACTCAGGGTATTGAGCTTTAAGTACTGCACACTGGGGAAATGGGAGTGTTGTCCACCAGTAGCACCACTGCTCTTGCATTTAGAGGCAGTTGCCAGGATTCCTGCCAGGCAATGAAGACTTTTCCCACAGGAAAAGATTTAGAGGGGATGGAGGCAGAGGCATATATGGGAACATTTTCCTGGCTGCATCTTCATCTTCTCTACGTATTTCTAAAAATGCTTGCAACACATGTTTGTTATTTGCTATCCAATGACCTTAAAGCTACTCAGCTATAGACACTTGCCCTCCACCCCCACTCAACGCACTCTCTCTTAAAACTATGTGAGCCTTTTATAGTATCAGGTACTGAGGAGTTTACTATCTATGGGCATTTCCATGTGAAGTGTTTATATATGGTCTAGACATGCCTTCCAGGTTTTTCTCATGGTCTTTCTCATTTTGGTCAAGTGGCAATTCCATCCTTCCAGTTGCTCAGGCCTAAAACCTTGGTGTCATCTTCAACTGCTTGTTTGCTCTTACACCCTGTACCCAATCTGTAGGAAAATTCCCTTGGCTCTACCTTCAAAATATACCTGGAGTCTGAGCCCTTTCCACCACCCTATCCCATGTTCAAGCCACCAGCATCCCTCCCCTGGACCACTGCAGAACCGGGCTGGTCTGCCTGCATCTACCCTTTCCCTCCTGGGGTCTGTCCTTAACACTGCAGCCACCACGACCCCCCTGAAGCATCTATCAGCTCCTATCCCTCCCCTGCTAAGAACCTTAGGTCTCACTCTCTCCCAATGCCTGATTACTCACTGGAGGTTCCTGTGGAGATTTCCAAGCCATTCCCAGGCCTGGGCTCTACCCTGGAGATTCGGATTCACTTGGTTTGAAAGCTCTATAGGAAATTCTAAAGTGTAGCCATGATTGAGTCCCGACAAAGCCCTGCAAACGCTTACCACCTCTCCAGGTCTCCGGTCTCACACCCGCTGCTGTGCCGCACACTCACTCTGCTCACTCCGCCTGCCTCTGTGTACACCAAGCACGTTGCCATGCAACACAGATGCTCTGCGTTTCTTCCCCACTTCCTGAAATACCCTTTCCTGGTTCTTGCTGGACTAGCTCGGCCTCCTTCAGGTCTTTACCCAACCTGGCCTCCAACCAGGTTACTTAAAGTCAAACCCCACACCCCTCTCCAAGGCCACCGCCCCTGCACCCTTTCCTGTTTTATTTTTCTCCATCACATTCAACACCATCTGCCTTACGATATACTTTACTTACTGTGTATGCTCCATGAGGGCAGGAATTTTTTTCTGTTTTGTTTGGAGTTGTATTTCCCAGTGCTGAGAACAGAACTAGTCCCCACAAATAATAAACATGTACCGTATGTTTGTTGCCCTTTTAGTCTGTCTTCTTTTGAAAAGTTTCTGTTCATGTTCTTTGCCCACTTTTTAATGGTGTTGTTTGATTTTTTTTCTTGCTGATCTTCCTGAGTTCTATATAGATTCTAGTTATCAGCCCTTTATCGGATGTGTAGCATGAGAATATTTTCTCTAATTTTGTAGGTTGTCTGTTTGCTCTCGTGATAAGTTTCCTTCACTGTGCAGAAGCTTTTTAATTTGTTCAGGTCCCATTTATTTATTTTTGTTGTTGCTGTCATTGCCTTTGGGGTCTTCATCAGAAATTATTTGACTTGGGTGGGGAAAGGCAAGATCTGTAACCTAAACATCTGTGCCCCCATAATACGCTGAAATTAAAAAAAAACAACAAAACCCATTTATCGAAAGCATGAATGAATCAATGCCCAGGAAGGAAGGAGCTGTGGGACTGGCCCCTGTGACGATAAACTCTGAAGCGAGAAGGGGGACAGTCTCGTGCTGTCTACAGTATGGTTGATTTCCATGTAGCACATTTTCTACTTTGCCCACAGTTGGTGACGTTCTTCTTCACCCCCTAAGAGAGCATGTGAAGAGTTTTGTCCTATTCAGTGATAAATACGCTAAATACATCTAAGTGCCCATTTAGCATATATTTCCCACTCGTTTAAGGCACCCCGTTGGGTACTTACGCAGAGACGTCATGCTGAGTGCAGGGGAGCAAGACGCCATGCCTGTCTCCTCGCCGCAGCTGCCAAGGGAGCAGTGCCAATTAGCACACGTCAAGGGCCTGAAAGGAATCAGGCTGGGCCTGAAAGGTATGAGGCAGCAGGGCTGACACACGTTTAGCAAGCTGCCTCTTACCTTTGGGGAGGGCGTTTGTGGAACCCAGTTCCGCGCAGAGGAATTCCGACTGCTTCGGTGGGTACACAGCAGGGATGCCGTTCGTTCGCACGGAGGTGACCTCTGTGGAGGCCGTGTGGTCTGACAGGCCAGTTAACCGCCAATTCTCCTGTCAATACGTGCAAAGTTCCGGAAACTTCCATGGCAGTGTATCTTCTGAATTAGTTCCTGGGTATGAGGAGAAACTTGTGTCACCACCAGCGAAAACTGAGCGAAAGAAGAAACCTGAGTGGGGTGGGACGCGTGGCGTGGGGACTGGCGGCTCAGGGCGCCCGCCCACTGCGGGGAAGGCGGGGAGTGGCATGCGGTGGTGCGCGGGAAGCGCTTTGGGAACTGTGGAAGGCCAGGTGACGATGACCACCCCACATGGCAGCTGGCTCAGTGTCAGTGACGCTCGGGGGCTCGTCTCTGTCGAGCAACCCTCTCATCTCCGTCGGTGTCCCCCACTCCAAGCCCTCTCTGCTTTCCGTTGAGAGTGGCCAGCACACCGCACTCAGCAGGTCGAGCCTCTTGGCATATTACACTATCTCTATACTACAGTATTTTTCCATGTCTGTGTCATTGTCATCGCATCAACCTAATTTCTGGCCATGAACAATAAAACCGATGAAAAAGAAGTGAAAATGCAAAACGAGTCGCTAACATTTATTGAGTGCTTTCTGTGTGCCGACCATTGCTTTATTTTATTTTGTTTATTTTTATTTTTATTTCAGCATCTTACAGGGGTACAAATGTTTAGGTTACATAGATTGCCTTTGCCCTACCCTGGTCAGAGCTTCAAGCGTGTCCATCCCCCAGATGGACCACACCCATTAGGTGTGTATATACCCATCCCGTCCTCCCCCCCATCTGCCAGACACCTGATGAAAGTTATTACTATGTGTGCACTTAAGCGTTGGTCAGTTAATACCAATTTGATGGTGAGTACACGTGGTGCTTGTTTTCCCGTTCTTGTGATACTTCACTTAGCAGAATGGGCTCTAGCTCTATCCAGGATAATACAAGAGGTGCTAGATCACCATTGATTTTTGTGGCTGATGTATACATAGCACATTTTATTAATTCACTCATGTATTGATGGGTTCTTGGGTTGTTTCCACATCTTTGCAATTGTGAATTGTGCTGCTATAAACATTTTAGTGCAGATGTCTTTTTAATAGAATGTCTTTTGTTCTTTTGGGTAGATCCCAGTAATGGGATTGCTAGATCAAGTGGTAGATCTACTTGTACCTCTTTGAGGTATCTCCATATTGCTTTCCACAAAGATTATACTAGTTTGCAGTCCCACCGGCAGTGTATGAATATTCCTATCTCTCTACATCCACACCAACATTTATTGTTTTGGGGCTTTTTGATAAAAGCCACTCTCACTGGAGTTTAAGTGATACCTTATTGTGGTTTTGATTTGCATTTCCCTGATGATTAGAGATGTTGAGCACTTTTTCATATGTTTGTTGGCCATTAGTCTGTCTTCTTTTGAAAAGTTTCTGTTCATGTTCTTTGGCCACTTTTTAAAGAGGTTGTTTGATTTTTCTCTTGCTGATTTGCCTGAGTTCTGTAAGTGCATTCCGTGAGCTAACCTGTGTAGTCCTCTTAACAACCTCTGATTTAGGGTACTGTGAAATCCACTTGACCTATGAGCAAATGGAAACACAGAGAGATTTAGAAACTTGCCCAAGACCACACAGCTGGTAGATGGCAGAGCCAAGATTCATACGTGTTGTTTCATTTAATCTAAACACCACCAAACTGAAGTAAGTACTGTTGCCCATTTTACATATGAGAAAATTGAAAGAAATGAATTACCCACAAGGTCATGTGGCTAATAAGTAGGAAATTAAGACTAGAATCCAAGTTTGGCTAGATTGTAGTCTTAGAATCAGCACTTGGCTGTCCTTCTTGGGTAAAGCCCATTCCTTTTGATTTATTATTATTAATAACATTCTAATTTTGGAATTACCATACATTTTGTTGGAAGTAGGCATTCAGCTATCACTTTGTATTAGGTAAAGAGCCTACAATTTTTAGGTTCATTAAAAAAAAATAGCCAGTGCATGAAAATCTGAGCAGCAACACATTAGAGCTGCCAAAAGTGACTTCTGTCGGCCCTGGCGACTGTATTTCATGTGCTTCATACAGTGCCAGGTTCTTTGCCTATATAACTGCAAAGAGGCAAGCCATCCCTGTGGGTAGGCATTAATAGACCCATTTTTAGATGGGAAAGTGGCCGGCCGCAGGTTATATAACATAGCCAAGGTGGGATCTGATCTCACGTCCCTGGCCACCAAAGCCTGTGTTTTCGGCATAGTCACACAGCCCTCCCCCTACCAGTGATCAGGGTAAAGACCACATGCTGATTGGCACCTAGACAACCTAGCCACACCAATTTTTTCTTATTTGTAATAGAAGAATTAAGAATGTTTGTTAATGCATTGGGAAACTTTTGAGTGTGAGATCAAGGTCCATATCCCTATCTAAGCTTGTCCAAACCAATTTACCGCAGATGGCAGCCTGGTTCACTAGTCCCCATCAGCCATCTCAGAAAAGAATGCTACCATACTATTGGCCACTAGGAAGACCCTTTAAGATTGAAGATATTCATCAGAAATCTAACATTTCTGTTGGAAAAACAATTCCAAGAGCACATGCTACACATAGCAGGTCTGGTAGCCCCTCGATACCTGTGCCAAAAAGTAGACACCAAAGCCACTTGGTACACATGCTCTTCTTTATGCTCACAGATGTGTTAAAATTATTTTATTCATTATGTTTGATGTTCACCTTCATACACTTTCTTCACTTTCTGGAAACTTTCAAAAAGTATTTACTGATAGCTGGGTAGAATTAACTGAATGTATCCATAAAAATATTTCTGAGAATAAGAGCAACATTATCATTTTGACAGCAGCCACAGAATTGATGTTTACATATTATTCACATTTATTGTCTTGTGATTGTTTTTATTCTCATGGTAAAATTTCCCACTCAATTTGTGCCAAGTATTGTCTGTTTTTTAAAAATTTCTCTCTTGCCCTCCATGTTTCTTTTTCCTTCCTTCCTTCCTCTCTCTCCCTCTCCATTTCTTTTCCTCTCTCTACATCTCCTCTCTCTCTGTCACTCTTTTTCTTTTGATTTTATTAAATCACTACTTTTTTCATAATAATTATAGTGCTTGTCTAGAAAAGTTTTAGTTCTTTTCTCCTAGGCTAATGTATTATTTAGAACCTCACAGTTTGGGGTCTGCTAATATATCCCATTTATAGTCTGAAAACATTATATTTTACCATTCACTTGATTTCTAACATTAAGTTTAAAGTGCTGCTGTCACCAGTATTTCTTAAATGGCACATAACCAGTGGCACATAACCATTACCTCTCCGAGTTACTGCTAAGGCAGATGCCATTTCAGTAAATGTCAGTATAATGGAAGGGGGAGATAATCACACTCAATCCATCACATCGTACCTCCATTTCACCTACTCATAAGTGTCACTTTAGGTGTCATAAAATATCCCATAACGTTGTCACAACTCACATTCGGAATCATGATAGCTAGTATTTAATATGTTCCTGAGATATCATTATATAACTTTAGGCTTGCAAAATATGTATCTCATTAGTATTCAGACTTTTTTAATGGCAAGACAAGCATATCTGTTGACTGATTCATATAATGCACCAGCGTGAAGATTTACAATTATCGTAGGTCTGGGAATTTAATGCAGGTATTCCTATTCTCAATCTATTGTTTTCAAAAGCTTTTAAAAAGCTTTTAACAATAAGAACAGAAACTACATTAATTCAAATTTTCCCAGCCTTCAAGTAGATTAAAAAGTTAAAAATCAGTAGTTTAATTATTAACCAGTCAAAGATGATTCATACCATTAAACAGGAACTTTCCCTGATGCAGAACTATTAATTTTGTGGTAAACAGAGAATAAAAAGTCTTTCTCTGAACATTTGAATTTGACAACCATGCTTCTACACACCAGAGTATAATCTTAAACAAACTATCAATTTCTCTGGAGACAAAAAATTTTAAAATAATGGCACTCTTTTTTAAAAAATGTTGTTGTTGCTGCTGCCTATTCTTATTGGTTAAATTATTTGCATGAGAATATGATTATTTTAGAATAGTAACGAGCTTGAGAACATGCTATGCCAAAATACGGCACCTTTGTATTTGAGAA